TGTTATGAGTTGTTCACATGCCAGAATATGTAGTGTGTAGTGCTAAAAGCTACGTTTTCTCACCTACAAGCTCGTCTGTCTCGAGGGGGCAGTTCCGAGTTTCAGCTGAACACAAATACTCCATTAAAAAGTTCTTGCATGTCCCGAGTCTTGTGGCATTGTTACACGTACGTCGGCTTTAGCACTTTGGAGTTTTGCTCGCAGTTGTAATTTACAAGATGCCAGACAGATTTGAGAATGAGAAGTTCCAGAATCGGCACTGAAGTTTTAACTTCCAGTTTATGGAACAACTTAATACCGGGATAGATACTGACCGACGTTTCAGAGGCTCACTGTGTTACTGCTTCAGAGAGTTTTCAGTGTAATGGAGCTGCAGATTAAATTATTTACTATACATTTCCGATGCACATGTGATTGAAATCATAATTTAGAAGCTTTTTGGCCGTCACATCGCTGTTGAGCTTGTATGTCTACACATTTTCATTTAATCATGTACTTTTATGAAACGTGTTTTAACCCTTTAAAGCTTATCGGTAACTATGTGTACCAGCTGTTTAAACAATCAACAACCCTCAGTCTATATTTGTTTTCGTATGATTCTCAGTGTAAAAAGGGATTATTTCCTTAAACATCGTTAACCAGTTGATCGGTGTAATGGTGAAGAGTTGTGTTTTCTTCGCGGTACGGACTGAATTCTTAAATGTTATTTAGACCTGCTTAGGGTTTTCGTTCCATCTCGACACAGGTTTTCCTTGGTTTTCCTCTGTCTTCAAGCAAATGCTGAGATGGTTCCCAAGTTCCAAGTTGCCACTGCAAGCTTCTCATGCAGCCCTCCCGATGTAAATTAATCAAAATTTACCACCCCTTAACGCCGTTAAAATTTACCCCCCCCCTCCCCATCAGTAGGAACTTCTAAATTATGTACTAAACTTCCAAATTAATAGCCTCAGCTTTCGCTAATTCAAAATTTCAAAATTCCGTCTTTTATGCCAATCATCACACTAACAGAAGGACGAGCGGGCGTATTTATCTGGCGGACTGCCGGCTAGAAGTCAGTACGCAATCCGGGAGGTCCTGGGACTAACCGCCTCGACAAAGGTTTTTTCTTGGTTTTACTCTGTGTTTAAACAAATGCTGACATTGCCACTGCGTGGTTCTCACGGCGAACGTGCCGTAATTGTAAGGCCTGCTCCAGTGAGAATGAACTTGCGAACCTTTCCACTCGGATACTTCATTCAGGGTCCGCCATTCTCATCAGGAAAACTGCTTCTCTGTTTGGCTTCATCATTGTGTTCTGTGCGCGTATGTGTTGAAACTGCCGCGTGCCACATCGTGTTTTCAAGCCCATTTCCCGTTTAATGACTAGTCCTTGTATGTACCAAGTCCCCGCCCTATAAATATGCACTACTGTCTAATCACTCGCCTCTCTCTCTCAGTGACAATTCTCCAGGGACTTATGCCACTGTTTCATTCATAATTGAAGCATTGTATTGGGCGTTGTTCATTGTCTGAGGTATGCTTGACTTTCACGATTAAACGTCCTGTTTTGTACTAGTGAGGATCTGAGTTCATATTTCGGCCCGAAACCTGCCGTCTTCGCTGAGGGTTTTTCGTAGTTATTTTCAGTCTGTTCAGAAAAATTCCGTGTAGGCCACGGCATCGTCCTTCAGACGCCAAGATCAAGTTTCACATCCATACAAAACAGCTGGCTAAGATACTGTCTTGATATCCTGATCATACGTCTTGCAAACAGCTACTTTATTAAGTGTGAAGTGAGGATCAGTCCGATTAGGCAGTTCAGGATGTCCCATGCGATGTTGATAACTCAGAATTGCTGTAGGTAGAAGAGACGATAGAATATCCGTCCCACGGTTCTGTGTTGGCTGTATATAATTCTATTTGAATAAACTCTTTGAGGGTCCAACGAGCCACGAAATGGCCTTTTAGATCCAACTCTCTCTACCTTCTGCATATTCCCAACTGCTGGCTGCCACGATATCGAAAACATCTCTTTGACACGACAGATTTGCAGACGAGGCTGATTCAAAATTAAATCTTCAGGATAAATGGTCTCCTTTTGCTTCACTTACTAAGGACGAAGTGAACATTAACTTTATTTGTTAGAGACTGTCAGTTATGAGAAAAAGCGAGTTATCTGCCTGCCGCTACAGTCATGTATGAATCCCGAATAATATTTAAGAATTCAGCCCGTACCGCGAAGAAAACACAACTCTTCACCATTACAAACATCAAGTGGTTAACGCAGTTTAAGGAAATAATCGCTGTTTATAGTGAGAATCATAGTTCGTCTGATTAACATTTAAAATTCATTCCGTACCGCGAAGAAAACACAGCTTTTCAGCATTACAAAGATCAACTGGTTAACCTTGTTTAATAAATTATTATGGTAAATAACCCCTTTGAAACCGAAGCTCGTATAAATTAGATTTTAAGAATTCAGCCCGTACCGCGAAGAAAACACAACTCTTCAACATTACAAACATCAAGTGGTTAACGCAGTTTAAGGAAATAATCGCTGTTTATAGTGAGAATCATAGTTCGTCTGATTAACATTTAAAATTCATTCCGTACCGCGAAGAAAACACAGCTTTTCAGCATTACAAAGATCAACTGGTTAACCTTGTTTAATAAATTATTATGGTAAATAACCCCTTTGAAACCGAAGCTCGTATAAATTAGATTTTAAGAATTCAGTCCTTACCGCGAAGAAAACACAACTCTTCACCGTTACAAGCATCAAGTGGTTAACACAGTTTAAGGAAATAATCGCTGTTTATAGTGAGAATCATAGTTCGTCTGATTAACATTTAAAATTCATTCCGTACCGCGAAGAAAACACAGCTTTTCAGCATTACAAAGATCAACTGGTTAACCTTGTTTAATAAATTATTATGGTAAATAACCCCTTTGAAACCGAAGCTCGTATAAATTAGATTTTAAGAATTCAGCCCGTACCGCGAAGAAAACACAACTCTTCACCGTTACAAAGATCAACTGGTTAATGCTGTTTAAGGAAATAATCGCTGTTTACACCGAGAATCGTACGTAATGCATGCATACATTCTGTGAACAAAATGTAGTATTACTGATTTTTGAATCAGGTGGTAAATATAATTACCACTGGACTTTTAAAGGGTGAGTGCGTGTGAGGAAGGACTGCTTAAACATTCGTCTGCAGACTAAGAAATGAAACTGTGAAAAATAATTAATGTGGAAGTGTCAGATGAAATCTGCCTGAAGACGCCTTTACATATTTCACTGAATCTGTTTGTTGTTTCGCTCGACTCTACGTAGGATAGAATTCGAAGAAAGATGACAGAAGACGACGTTTGAAAAGCGTAAAGAACTTCGTCTAAATGTGAAATAAAGGACTGTTTTATCTTCTTCAAAGACACGTGTCTTAAGGATTTATGACCTTAATCATTCCGCCTTTGATTTTGAAACTGTAAGTTCCCCTTGAATCATTAGGGAACAATGTAATATTAATAATGATGATGACGAAAGACTGGGGCCCATGTTTGGCTTTAAGTGTCGTCAGGGAAACGGAGCTAACACGGACAAAATAATGAAGGTAAGTGCGCAGATTTATGAAAGTTGGTTTGCTTTGTAAATGTCAGTCCATTACTCTGACGGAGTATCAAGAATCAAAGTACAGGAATGTGATTATGTAACAAAACAGCTCTATATAGCAAGATAAAACTAATTACTAACAAGTGAAGGCATTTACAGTTTTCTTTCTTTTATGCTGGAAACAGTATTTACATGATTTATCGCCTTGTTTGTTAATTTCAGACTTATAATTAATTTAAATTGGTATCTAATTGTAATTCATCCTGTATGTATGTGGAAGTTTCATAGTCTCAAGTTCCGTGAAAAGGTGGAACATCATTACAGATGGTATTTTTTGAACGGGGTAGCTTAGTAAAATATATGACCGTTTGTAATATGTACCTCCATGTACGTTCAGTTTATGTACTGAATATCACGCCGTGAAGTCAAAGTCGGACTTGTTTCTGATGGATGACCATCGAGTCTCCAGTACCGTAGAAACGTAGAAGTCTCTTTTGTTCGTCGTATTGCAGAAAAAGAAGTATGAGATCAGACGAACTGAATTCTTCCAGTCAATTTAGCACCTCGTTTCGTTATGGGAAACAGATCTGAGTACGTGGTAGGCCAGCGTCTTTCTGTCTGTCTGTACGGCATACGTAAACATAAAAAGTGATGAGTTGCGATTTTAACTTACTGGGTTAGACTTATTTAATGACCGTTCACCTACTGCAGAAGATGATGATAGAGGAGGAGAAAACTGCGAAAATCTTTTTTCAAGAATGTATCCCTGAATTAAAATGAAGAAATAAAAATGAATATCATGACTATGCTGGCTTAGGTCTTTGTCCTACAAGGAAAAAGTGTAAAGCTCCAGACTCTGGCCTTCTTTACCCCCTAATAAGGGCTGTGATTACGTTTGGACTCTGAAATGTTTTGAGCAGTTTGTACATATTCTGGGTCGTAGGATTAAACATGGCCGTGGGTTTTAAAGTACGACAAAGTTATCACTGTCTACAAAAAATACACTTTTAACTTCGTATAATATAGGGTTACCATTTAAGACGTAATAATTTTGTGCCTGTTATGTGTGTTATTTGTGCTATTTACCACCGAGGCCTACCTTAAAAAGCGTATGTAGTTGTTCTCGATGGCTCACTTAAGACACGATGTACGCTTAGACTTGCGACCTCATGACTTTACAAAGATATTATCCAGACCTTGACTGCTTACAAGCTACTTGTTTAAATTTGTAATGTATTTCTTGGTGTAAACCGCTCTATGACGTATGTAATGTGACAATTTACTCGTCACCATGAGGACGTGAAATGTAACTTTATCTGTGATCCATAGCGTGGGTAGTTGTCTGATAAAAAGTATCTGTGACATCGCCCTCGTTGCTTAATGATTATCTTTGCCTTTCCCATAATGCACCTCGAAACTTGGCAAGTTGCCAGATCAGAGGTTTCCTTCGAGGAGTTTATATTCGCTAACGGAGTTTCCTTTTACCTGTGGTTGAGCGCGGACTTCTGGAATCCTGAGGTACGTCGGGCAGCTGGTGTGCCCTTTCGTTATTGCATATTGGTTACTATTGTGGTTAGTCGCTGTTAGTTCAAAGCCTTGAAGCTTTGTTTGTCTGTTTCTAGACTTTTAGGCTTAATTTCAAACAAGTTGCCTTTTAATTTGGCAAATTCTTTGCGTTAGTTGATGCATCTGCTTCAGTTACTGTTGTAGATTTAATATTTTTTGAATAATTCGTAGCAATATGGATGCCTTTATGCGATTTTATACCATGTTTGATGGTCGAACATAATGCACGGTGCCTTACTCTCCGCCCCCGACTTCAGAAACGTTTATTATTCTTTACTTTGTTGAAGTATTATTTTGAAAATTTCTGCGTTAATGAATTTGTGTTTAGTTGTCGGTGGTATTTATGTTTTACCATTACTTAAGGTACAAAATGGTATTAATAGTAAAGGCTGATATAAAAGCTTTAACTACGACTGAGTTAAATTTAATCCTACTCGGGCTACTAGTCGTGTTTTGTGGTTTAATGGACATTTAGCTATATGACGCGGCACATAACCCAATAACAAATCATTGGATTCGAGTTTGTCATATTGGGTATCTAATGGGTCTCCTTCATTCTGCGTGTTATCTTTCGTAACTTTTTATCTGTCGTCGTCTTTATGACTGTTTGGTTTTCTCTTAAAGTCCCATTAAGTATAATTCATGATTTGAAATGCAATGACATTTGAGTTTTATGGGGCGGTCAAAATCTGGATCATGATTTTGTAGGATGATTTCTTGATGGTTGCATAAGTTTCTGAGAAAACTATGGCTTCTGTCTGCGTGGTAGAGAATGTCGTATGTGCAAAATATGTTTGACTTTCACGTAAATACAGTTATAATTTGACCGGTATGAAATTACGTAAAATTTTGTTTATACGCAAGTGGACCTTCACAATTGTGTTCATTCATACACAAGGTGGTCAGATATTTGCTTATGAAAAACGGGTCTACTGAATTTTAAAAAAAATCTTTTCTATGGTAATTACGTGAGTTTGGAATTTATCAGAAGTTTATTTCTCCAGATTGTAGATTGTGAATTTTAAGTTAACTCGGGGTGGGGTGGATACATGTTGGCTCATCAGGGTATCCCAAACTGCCTGCATTACATTGTTCTGAAGATTTCTCATGACTTTGAAATCTTGGCCATTGGTCACGAACATAGAAGCATGATTCAAGGGCATCACACGATCTGCATAAATACAAATCCGTTCAGCAAGGGGATTTGTTTTGATAAGCTGAGGCAATGTCCCATTCAAACAGCTCACGGGAATGTACAATGGCCACAGGGGGGTTACCGAGTTCATGCTATCAGTTCAGAACACTGCACTACTGTGCAATTGGACTGCAGACCATTTTGACGAGCCGACTTCGAACTCGGTATGCAAATTATGCAAAGAAATGTGCAGTATTCTGTTTCACACAGCGCTGGCTGAGCGGAGATCAAGGGTCATGGGGGTTGAAATTAGAAATGCACACAGAATTAGTGACGATCTGAAGACAGCAAACATTATAGTAGATTGGTATAACTGTGTTCCTCGTTTTTGCTGCGTCTAGTGTTCGTCTCTAAGTAAACCTGTCGAAAAGCTGACCAAAAATTTTGTGAACATCAGTTGATTTATGTACAGTTATTAAGTAATTCCATTTTGTAACTGCTTTGCAAATTATATCCATGTTCTGATAGAGTAGAGTAGAGTAGAGTTTATTTATATTCCATAGATCCTTCTTAGGACTCAACCAAAGGATGTAGAACATGTCATTTCATACAATATACATACACTTCACAACTTTCAACACAAGTACAAGAACGTATTTCACATATCAATGTACATAAATTTCAGATTCTGCAATACAAGTATGAAAAATAATTTTACAAATTAATATATATAAACCTGAGAACTTTAAATATGAATACAGAACTTGCTTTACATATACGTAGATTATGGATATACTAAAGCTTAAACATTTTCAGCAGAGATGAAATCATTACAGAATAGGAGTAGTGAGTAAAGAGGTAATCTTTCAATGCAGGCTTGAATACCTTTATATCATAATTTAGACTTTTAATTGTTGGTGGAAGATTATTAAACAACTTGATACCTGTATAGTACACCCCTTTCTGATATTTAGTAAAGTTAGCATTTGGCACATATAGATCATGTTTACATCTTGTATTTAAATTATGTACATCTGTATTTCTGCACTGGATACCGACCGCAGAAGTCGACAGCGGCAGAACGTCCACGCCATTTTGTCATACGCAGGGACTGCAACGTCTGAAAAACAGCGACCACATCCCGCCGCCGCCGGAGAACGAGGGATATTCAACGATCGCTACATGCGCACTGTGACGTCTGCTGTCATCTACCGACAACAGAGCTGAACTACATGCCCGTCCGCGCACACTCCACTGCACCGCCGAACGAAATGCTGCCTGAAATACCACTCCACAGATTGTAAACTCATAAGCAGCAA